TTAAATATGTAATATTGGATAATGTTGACAGCTATTATTATATGCAAATATTGCAAATATTTTTTTGGGATGTCTAATTTTATCCTCTCTCTTTCTCTCTCTCTCTCTCTCTCTTTCTTTCCTTGTAAAATAATAGAGGTAAAACGATGAGATAGGTGGAAATTACGAAATTTGGATTTTTCATTTTGGCATGAATAAATTGTTAAATTATGAGGCAAAACATTATATTAAAAGTCCATTTAAACAAGCAAAATTATAGAGAGAAAAAAAAAAGCAAAGAAACTTGGCTAAAGGCTCAAAAGAATTCTTTATGGCCTAAGGCATAAAAGCATTCGTAGAGTTTTAGAATTAATCTTCGATTACGTCTTCTAAAATTCAAATATGCTACAACAATTTGCAAACAAAATGGTTGCAAAGTTTTGAATGTTCAACAAAACATTGCATTAAACAATTCATTTTCATTCAATAATTGTATAAAATTGAAAAAACAATGCAAGAAAAATCACAAAAAAAAAACTTAAATTTTAAAGTTTGACATTGAAAAAAAGGAAAATTATGAGGAAATACGCAAAAAAAAAAGAAAAAACCAAAATATAATGCAAATATTAATCACATTTTGCTCATAACGGCTTTTCCTTTCTTACAATCAAATTGAAATTTTTGCATTTGAAATAAAATATGCTAAAAAAAAGGGAATTATGTGACAAGAAAATAACATCAAAATTTAAAAATGCAATTTCAAACATCTACAAAGGAGAAAGTTTTTTTTTTTGAAAATGAAAAGATTGAAGGGAAGCATTAATGGTATTAAACACAATATTCATGTTTAGTTTTTATTTTAAAAGATTGCAAATGATTACAAAAAAGGGTTAAAAATAATAAAATCTCTGTAGTCCAATGCCTTATAAAATATTCTTCAATTTCATTTCAAAATTTAAAAAAAAAAAGACTTTCTATTTACAAAAATTGCAAAAAATTAGATCATTTTAGTTTTCTTTTTTTTTTTCTTATCGTTTTCTTTTTTCTTTCACTCCACAAACCTTTTACACATATAAATTCAAGTTCAGTGAATCCAATAATAATTTAGCATAATCTTTTTTTTTTTTTTTGTTTTGTTTTATCGACATTTAATGGAATTTAAATAATGGCAACACGGAACAATATTATGTAGAAAATGGCAATGAATAAACTTAGTTTACCATTATAAGCATAATAATGTTTGCCTTATTTGCATATGTATTGCTACAATAATTGACAAATGTTAATGACAAAAATTTTAAATGGTATTAAATGGTAATGAAAAAATTTTAAGTGATACTAAATGATAATGAAAAAATTTTAAATGATAATGAAAAAATTTTAAATGATAGCAAATGATAATGAAAAAATTTTAAATAAATGATAATGAAAAAATTTTAAAATAAATGATAATGAAAAAATTTTAAATGATAAAATCGATTAGAAATACAATGTTTTGAAGAATTTAAGGCAGAGAAGGGCAGAAGAAAATAGCAAAATGTTGAATGGTGGAAAAGTTTTTCATTTTATTTCGATTTTAAACAGTTGTTATGTTTTGAAAAGTGATGAATATGTATGAATATGTGCGTGCATATCTGCGTGTTCATTTCTTGGATGCTTTTGAAGATGACGTTTTAGAGAGAATTTATCGAATTTGAAGTACATCCCAAGATTCCACCACAAAAGTTTTGTTGAACTAGCCACTTTTATTGCTGTGAGCATTGACAATATATATATATATATATATATATATATATATATATATATATATATATATATATATATATATATATATATATATATAT